ATATCAGATCATAACATCCTCCCTTGAATAATACAATACCAACACACAAATGATTATCATCCTATTTTTTCAACAAGTAAAAGAAACCCTGATAATGAAGACAAGATCACACAACTATTCATGACTGACCATCTTGAATATATAATCAGTTGTCATTCAAAACTTGGGATTATTCTTTGGGGAAATACATTTTGTAGGTACATAACAGTGCTGAGACACAACAGAACATAGCTTCACTGGACACCCCTCTTTCTCTGTCTATCTCTTGGCCTCTCTCGCTCCACACACTCCTGGAATGTGGCTGCACGGACAGATTTGGCACAACAAAGACACACACTATACACAAACATTCACCTCTGAAATTCCTCACTCCGTCAACAAGGGGAGGTAATTACATCCATAGTCAATTCAAATTTAAATCTTGCCAATTACTAGCAACCTGTGTTCAGGGCCAGGGAGGGTGTTCTTCGCTGTACTGTTAAAACAGGTGGCAAGAATAGAAGCATTGTTGAGGAGACAATAGAGCTCGGACATAGATCCTCATGACACAGTGTACTCGGTATTCTGATGCATTGGGAATGGAAGCATCTTTCTGAGAGCACTGTTAGCATGGTTAGAAATATAGTCAAATCAATTCATTTCTTTATTAACCTTTAGCTTTTCAGCTAATCGTCAGTCTACATTGCAATTACTCATAATATTGTTGGTACAGGCATAGACATTGTTTAAGTACAACATTCTCAGAGAAGGTACTTTAATAGAATTTACATAAATTCCTGTCTTGTATAATAATTCTAGGGTGGGGGGGTCTTGTGCTTTTTGCCTCCAAATTTGAAAAAAGACCCAGACTTTCAAAGACAATGGGGCATCTTAGCATTGTGCTGTCTGGGCAAGTGTGGGTGTACCTCTGGAATATTTAAAATCTTCACATAAACATGATAAAGGGCCAGTGTCAGAAAACCCTGGAGTGAACCCTGAATGTGTAATGAAAATTAATGAACACTATTTCTTTTACATGCTTTCATTTCATATTTAAAAATGAAAAAACAAACTACATTTCCATTCTTCCTTCATTTGCCCATTAAACAAAAACTAATAACATTCCTCTCGTCAGGCCTTACCATGAGTGAGTGAGTTGGACCTAACGCCACTTTGAACAGTACTTCTCATACATCACAACGTGTCAGGTTGACGCTAATTGATCCAGTTCTTGGACATTTACCACTTTGATTAAAGCCCATGTGCATACTGCTGACAAACCAAGAAACACAATCAGGTCACAGGTTCCATGATCACAGGTTCCTGGCACAACCAAGGGACATAACCCCTCACAGTGAATGGCAGCACCTCAGACAGCTGGCCCTCCATGCCCTCTTATATTGAGATCTCCAGAAATACCAACTCCAGTTCGGGGTCCAGACTGATGAAAACATTAATGATTCAAGAGACCCATTACCTATACAAATGATGAATCATGTTCTGAAAATATTTGGACAGGAGCTATGATGCTTGAACAGGAAGAGTTATTTGTTTTCTCCACAGGTCAATGCCTAGCAAAATAAATCACTGATAAAGAAGTTATCATCCATAAAAAGTTTCATGTCTTTATATTAACTGAAGAGTTGACATTGGTAATTTTCAACTTCATCTATTGAAATTATCGCTTGTCTGGTAGAGTTATGTCAGCTATTGCTATTACTGCCAGTAATAATTGCAATGTGTCGAGGGCAAGTTTGAATTATTACATCACGAACCAACTCCACACAATCAAGTGTTACGCCAGATACACATTAAACACTGACCAGCCAGGTATATACCCAGGTAACACTGACCAGCCGGGTATATACACAGGTAACACTGACCAGCCACGTATATACACAGGTAACACTGACCAGCCGGGTATATACACAGGTAACACTGACCAGCCGGGTATATACACAGGTAATACTGACCAGCCACGTATATACACAGGTAACACTGACCAGCCATGTATATACACAGGTAACACTGACCAGCCAGGTTTATACACAGGACACACTGACCAGCCAGGTATATACACAGGTAACACTGACAAGCCAGGTATATACAGACAGGTAACACTGACCAGCCAGATATATACACAGGTAACACTGACCAGCCAGGTAAATACTCAGGTAACACTGACCAGCCACGTATATACACAGGTAACACTGGCCAGCCAGGTATATACAGACAGGTAACACTGACCAGCCAGGTTTATACACAGGTAACACTGACAAGCCAGGTATATACACAGGTAACACTGACTAGCCAGGTAAATACCCAGGTAACACTGACCAGCCAGGTAAATACCCAGGTAACACTGACCAGCCAGGTTTATACACAGGTAACACTGACCAGCCGGGTATATACACAGGTAACACTGACCAGCCAGGTAAATACACAGGTAACACTGACCAGCCAGGTAAATACACAGGTAACACTGACCAGCCAGGTATATACATAGGTAACACTGACCAGCCAGGTAAATACACAGGTAACACTGACCAGCCGAATATATACACAGGTAACACTGACCAGCCGGATATATACACAGGTAACACTGACCAGCCACGTATATACACAGGTAACACTGACCAGCCAGGTATATACATAGGTAACACTGACCAGCCAGGTAAATACCCAGGTAACACTGACCAGCCATGTATATACACAGGTAACACTGACAAGCCAGCAGGTATATACACAGGTAACACTGACAAGCCAGGTATATACACAGGTAACACTGACAAGCCAGGTATATACACAGGTAACACTGACCTGCCAGGTATATACACAGGTAACACTGACCAGCCACGTATATACATAGGTAACACTGACCAGTCAGGTATATACACAGGTAACACTGACCAGTCAGGTACATATACACAGGTAACACTGACAAGCCAGGCATATACACAGGTAACACTGACCAGCCAGGTAAATACCCAGGTAACACTGACCAGCCAGGTAAATACCCAGGTAACACTGACCAGCCAGGTAAATACCCAGGTAACACTGACCAGTCAGGTATATACACAGGTAACACTGACCAGCCACGTATATACACAGGTAACACTCATCAGCCAGGTATATACACAGGTAACACTGACCAGCCGGGTATATACACAGGTAACACTGACCAGCCACGTATATACACAGGTAACACTGGCCAGCCAGGTATATACATAGGTAACACTGACCAGTCAGGTATATACACAGGTAACACTGACCAGCCAGGTACATACAAACAGGTAACAATGACCAGCCAGGTATATACACAGGTAACACTGACCAGCCAGGTATATACATAGGTAACACTGACCAGTCAGGTATATACACAGGTAACACTGACCAGCCATGTATATACACAGGTAACACTGGCCAGCCAGGTACATACATACAGGTAACACTGACCAGCCAGGTACATATATACAGGTAACACTGACCAGCCAGGTACATATATACAGGTAACACTGACCAGCCAGGTACATATATACAGGTAACACTGACCAGCCAGGTACATATATACAGGTAACACTGACCAGCCAGGTACATATATACAGGTAACACTGACCAGCCAGGTATATACACACAGGTAACACTGACCAGCCAGGTATATACACATAGGTAACACTGACAAGCCATGTACATATATACAGGTAACACTGACCAGCCAGGTACATATATATACAGGTAACACTGATCAGCCAGGTACATATATACAGGTAACACTGACCAGCCAGGTACATATATACAGGTAACACTGACCAGCCAGGTACATATATACAGGTAACACTGACCAGCCAGGTACATATACACAGGTAACATGATACCTCTGTGCACTATCATTTGGGAGTGTGTATGTAAGCAGGCATTCAACACTGGAATAACTAATTGGTTGGCAATTTGCAGAACAGTTTACCCTTGGCCATCTCTTGATTTCATAATCATGTGTAATTTCCCAAAATATTGCCACAATTCCCGGAAGGTCTGATTGGCTGACGGAGCTGCCAGACAGGTGTTAACGAGGTAACTGTTTACACAATCAACAAATTACATCTTGCTTGAAAGAGGAAGCTTATCACTCCACTGGTGTAAGTATGTTACAGGAAACCAACAGCTAATTAACAAAATACAGGAATAAACAGAGCATGCCTTTTAAGATTTTAAGACATAACTGAAAATATCTTTGAGTTGAAATCACCAATTAACTTAAAAGTCTAAATCCAATCCCTATCATAATAGTTTTGACTCCCCCTTCCCTAGTAAACACCCCCCCACCCCACCCCATGGAGGTAGGACTTTGTTCCACTGGAGCACTTGACACGAAGATGTTAGCCCTGTGTCCCACTTGTCACCACATCCAGGATAGTTCAAGTTAAGACAAAACAATACTACGTGCTGTGTCCATGTTAGCCTGCCAAACCCTCCATGGCCTTATCTTTGACAGAATGTGCAAAATGTCCACATTGAAACAGACATACCATTTACCTCAGCAAACACTGTTACTGTCAGCTGTTTTCATTGTCTTACCCTTGAACACCAAGAAATGCATTAAATCATAAGTCATTAGATATTCTTGCAAATATCCCAAAAGATTTACACACTACCTGTCATCAATTCAAACTAATCACAGCTAGGCCAATCAGTGTTTACAATAAACAGTGGTCACAGTCCAATGATAGCGTGATGTGTAAAATATTTGCATGCATTGATATATAGACACAATAGTGCAATGTAAAAAGTCTGATAAAAACAATCTTATGTGAACAATAGGGCAGAAGTTGAATTAGTTGGATGGTAGAGTGCCCAACACACGATTAGCACACTGTGGAAATCGATTTTGCATTTTCTTCAGGTGAGGAATTTTTGGTTGACAGTTGTTGGAGTTGGCTGAAGAGCCCAATCAGCCAAGCAGTGTCACACAAGCAGTAGACATGATACACTCGGGAACTCGTGTCCCAGATACTGTGACTCACCTGGAGAAATAGCACGACACTTCAACAGTCGGCCATGATAATTATAGCGTACGTTGACTATTCAGTTTGGCCCGACATACAGGTAAACCCACACAATGTGTATAAACAAATCGGCTCGACGTCTTTACATCCAGTGTAAGTAATATTCCATTTGTACAGGCACATCACAATGGCTTACACATATTATGCACAACACGGACAATATCCTTGATTATGGCTGGTTATTCCGAGCATTTTGTAAACATGGAATGCCGAATGTGCTCCGAGGCTGCAGGAGACCACAGTCGCGTGGAAAGTGCGCACGAGAACCCGTCCGGTCCACAGTTTGGACACGTTAATCGTTGGAGGATGTAATTGTGCGAGCTGGGTGAACATTCTTAAGACTGAAACTCACCTTTCACATGTACATAAACCTGGTATACGTTCAAAATCCACGAGAAAAGCTTGTCTGAAATCGAATATACACTGCTTGTCAATCAAACGTGACCTCTTTGGCTGGTTCTTCCAGCGACCTCCCCCCGCCGACAAAGACTTTCAGATTGTCGCACGCATAATGGACAAGGCAAAGGAAGGTGTGGAATGGTGCTCTAAATAGTGAGCAAGCCGACATTATAGCAACTTACCTTTCTATCCAAACGAGACAACGAAATTGATGCAAAGTACTGTCCAAAAACATACCCTCTTGTAGGGTGTCTGTCTAACAAAGCTAACAGCGATCCCAGCGCCGCCTAGTGGCAAAGTGCGCTTTGCCATCAGACAACAGGTGAAAACAGGTAGGACGAGTTGGGGAGGGGAGAGGAACTTTCAAAAACACCTTCTACGTATGTGTGTGTGACATCGAGTCGGCACCGTGAGAAACGTTTGTTTATGAGATAGACATGGTACTTTAAAATATATTATGCGGAACGAAATGCGTGGTACGTAAATCGATAATCGGCCAAACAGTAATCATGTATCTCTGTTGTAGTAGTCTACAATGCTACTACAGCGACTGACTTGGCTATTAAGCTTTATTGTGAACACGGTACTTATCGCATATTTTTTAAGGGGATGGGAGAGGACCTATATACAGATATATGAGGTTCGTGAGTTTAAAAATCACAGTCATAGATATTTCACCGAGATCTATAACACAACGACGTGTTTATTTTCGATTCTAAACACGGCAAACCAGTGACTGAACACACCAGCAACATCCGACGCCATCGAGGACTCATACGCAATCGACCCGTGAAGATACGGGTTATAATAGGTCTTCAGTAACCTATGCTTGTCGTAAAAGTCGACTATATGCTTGCCGTAAGAGGCGACTAACGGGATCGTGTTGTCAGGCTCGCTGACTTGATTGATGCATGTCATGTATCTCATTTGCGTAGATCGATGCTCATGATATAAATCACTGGATTGTCTGGTCCAGATTTGGTTGATTACAAATAGCTGGAATATCGCTGACTGCGGCGTTAAACAACAAACAAACACATATGATACGCAATCAGTCAAGTCTCAGCGTCTGTCCACCTGATCCAGCGAACTAGGTCGCCTCTAACGACCGGCAGTGGGGTGCTGGGGCAGGGGTCCCACGGGAACACTGCCCTGGGGGTAGGCGACATACCGGAGAGAGCTAGACACGAATGGACACAGTGTTTAACCAAGTTGATAATATCAGTGATCTATCAGCTCACATCAAATCCGGTAAGTTATTATGGACTTAACTCCTCGAGCGTGTGTAGGAACACTGCTCAGTACGTTGCAAGAACTGGGAATAGCGTCTGTTTTAATGATATATGTATACAAAATATACTATTTATATAGCTTGAAGTATTTGCCGGGGAATGAGGCATAGCTAACTGGGTTGTGTGTTTGCTTGTCGGACGAAAACTGGGTTCTTTTCCCATAAATGTATTGGTACGATCAGATTCCGATTTCTTGTTTCTCAATTAATGAACCAGTTTATTGCCCTTTGCTGCCAGGATCCGGGGATTGTGAGTTCAAATCACAGACCCAACCAGCAGAAACTTATGTTTGGTTAGTAAATGTCAATAATTCTGAATAAATTTGTCTATTAATCGTCTTTAACGCTCCAGCAATTTGGATTTTGACTTCCACATTAATCGTTGCTGGGTATAAGACAACCGTTTCATGCAATCTGTAGTACATCTGTTACTGGCCTCCCTGTACAGAAACATATCGGATTCAATTTTTATGTAGCAGGGCGTGGAGTCATCCCCCAGATGACATCCTTACCTTGTCAGCTTGCTGACGGGGTTAACCTCTTTGGTCATGTGGACAAGGCGTTCGACCTCGGATCAGAAGGTCCGTGGTTCGAATCCCATCACGGAACTCGGAAATGTTATGGAGGCTACATTTAGTATGACACAGAAAGAAAAACAATGTCCTTGGAACAACATGCAACAACAATACTCCAGTTTGTAAACATGCCTGTCTTCTCTTTAATCTCTTAACCACCGAATATACAACATCTGTCACAGAGAGATAATATTCTTTATTAATGAAGTAAATATGTCACAAACACTCGATGTGGTTCCCCAACCAGGAAGCCGCGACATATGCATGTACACTGAAGACACACTCCATCAAGACTTGTCAAGCGTGACCTTTCACCTAATCCCTTCCTCTGTGATGAAAATGTATTCAGAAATCCAATCTGAACAGTAATTTTGATTCCACAATATCACTGATAGTGATTGACCCACTTACTCGCTGATTCAAGGGGGGAACCAGGTCAGACTGTAGGGGGTATACTGGACCTGCGTCTCGAGACCACGTGCGGCGCATCACCTGTGTGTCTCGGGGGTAACGACTCATCTGCCGGGATGCGTGCCAGGTATTGTCTCTCGGTCACGTCACAGCTACATCCCGGCTTGTCCTCCAGTGTGGCGCTGGTGGGAAACACAAAACGACGACCGATGACCACGAGGATGGCAACGGGTACAGTGTGGTGGAAGTACACGGTGTGAATTTACCATGGTGTGGTGGTTCATTGGGACCGTCACCGTACAGTCACCATCACCATCACCACCATCACCATCACCATCACCACTTCTTGTTACTGATATATACGTTATACTTGATGTCAAATAGCTCCATGTCCCAATATTGAAGGCAATCATTTAAACATGGCACTCGTAATCACACACTCACACACAGACATGCACACACAGAAACACACGCTCACACGCGCGCGCGCGCACGCACGCACGCACGCACACACACACGCACACAATTACAAATCCATGATCAGCCACTGTTCGCTCGTCACGCCAAAGACCCGGGTTCGATTTCCAACATGGGTACACCGCATGCGTGTGAAGCCCATTTCTGGTGTCCCCGCCGTGATATTGCTAGAATATTGCTAAAAGCGGCGTAAAACAATACTTACTCACTCGCACGTGCTATGTACGACTGTCACAGTGATACGAAGACCCATCAAGGCTTTTAAGTTGGCCGGACCAATCTCTTTGTTCTACTTTGTGGTCAATATCCCCAGTTGCAGGAGACAAAGTACATGAGTAAAATACTACATATCCCCAGGGTTGATTTGTGACTACAGTAGTACTGTGGTTTACGAAAAATAGTTATATAAATAGGCCTAGAGGTCTCTTGATCTGGAGACGAGAAGGAAGCCTGATGGGTACACTGGTATGCCGTGTGTATTGAGTGCATTGGCAACAGTAGTTACATTACAAGGTTACAACACTCACGGCCTCAGTGAAGCTCTCCAAATTGATGCCCGATGCAGTTACATAGTTTGACTCGTACCACATGTTCCCGTGTGTTTGTTTTCCAGGTGAACAATTGACTTGCCTTTGCATGTGTTTGTGACGGATGGGACAGGATACGCCCACCTGTTCGCGAACACCTTCTATCACCACTATTTGATACTGATTCATTAACACATGCTCATGACACAGTCGGACTCGTACTGACTGCTTTATACCGAGATTTCTATTGGATGTGGAAAGGGTTTTGTCGCTTTATTTACACTATGGTAATATACACAGAGTCCTGTTTCTACCTCGCTTAAGGAAGAGACACTTCTGACGTGGCCACTTGTACAAGTGACCGTTTCACATTTCCGTGCGTCTGCACAACAACCAGCCATAAACCAGCCGCTGACAACACGGTATATACCTGGGTTTATTGCTAAGTCATACCGGGGTAGATTCATCTCGTTCCCACGGATGGAGGTCACGTGGTCATGTGTTCACCCTTTTATCGTCACTGGCAAGTGAAAGACATGTATCTCCACACTTTTGGGTAGACACCGTTTTTCCAAATCTCTGTCCAAATGACTTCTGTGGGAAACAGACCCGAACACCCGCGACATAGCTTTCTTTAATGGCGCCATGACGAAGACAATGACTGCTGCATCGATGAACAAGTAATGAATATCGATATCTGTACACGACAGATCAAGGAACAAACAACTAAGTTTATATTATTTTTAATGGAGTGAGTGAGTTGGGTTTAACGCCGCTTTTAACAGTATTCCAGTTATATCACGGCATGTCAGCTTAATGTGTGAGGAAAGCCCGAAGTGATGCAGGTCTTAGACGTTTACCACTTCGGTGAAACCCACAAGCACGGGTATGGTGCTGACAAACCTAGAAACATAATCGGGGCGAACCGGGATTCGAAACCACAATCTTAGGTTTCTGGCGTGCCCAATGACACCCCGTGTCCCCGTGCCCCCTGTTTCTAATGGAACATTCAGTGACGGTGAATATGGGTGACGAGAAACCTGACAGCCGTTGTCTTAAATTCCCCCCAGTCTACATTAGCTTCAACTCCTGTAGAGGGCGATACTGAAACCTATCCATCCACTACTGAAGTCAGTTACATATGCGTGCAGACACTAGCTGCATCTTTATATCCGCACTGACTTATTCTACGTGAAAAAAGTGAGTTCGCTATACGATGTTTGTTTATTTTGTGCGCCCCTCTCAGCAATATTAGTATTCCCTCAATATATAACGTCGACCTGTAAGTAATCAAGTCATGACCATACAATCCAGTAGACCCGTGAAGATCTGGGGTAGAATAGGTCTTCAGCAACTCATGCATGCTTGCCGTAAAAGGCGACTATGTTTGTCGTAAGAGGATCGGGTGGTCAGGCTTGGTTGATGATTGTTTTCGTAGCCCAATTGCGAGGATCGATGCGCATGATGTCAATCACTGGATTGTCCGGTCCAGATTCGATTATTTATAGACCGCCATCATATAGCTGGAATATTGCTGAGTGCGGCGTTAA